ATTTATTTTTATTTTATTTTTTCGTTCCCAAAAGAATGTGGCCGCGGAATAAATAGCGGTAAAAATGAATGAAATTCGGTCGTGACTTTTCTTTCTAACGAAATGTGACCAAATTTGCACATACAAACCCACCAAACAACAAGCAAATCGCCAGGCCATACAAACCGACAATATTTTTTTTTTATTTCAATTCCACACGAGTGTTTTAATATTTTCGAGATAATCTTTGAGTATTCTTTGGTCGTGCAATCGCCATGTAAACGCATTGAATAATTCAACGAATTTCACCGTTTTGTTAGTCATATGTTTTATTTAGTCTTTTGTCTTTTTTTTCTACAACTTTATATTGTTGATGTTTGATTCTATATTATGTGGATAAAGAGAGATAAAAACAATCTTCTAAATCCATTAAGAAAGAGAAGGGAAAAAAATACAGTTGAAATGATCAAAATGAAGTCGTTCTGACGTTGAGTTGAATAAATCACACGAGACACGCCTCACTCATTCTCCGACCATCAAATTTCTATTCAAATCATATTTCATTGACATTATTGAACAACTGCCGAAGATTCATTAAAGTGCTGCGTATTTTCTCTTCTCCCGTATGTGTTACGCGGAGCTAGCTAGCGAGCGAGTGCGCGTTCAATCTGAGCGATTGAATTTCCTTGAATTATCCATCAACTGAATCAAAGAAAGAAAAAAAACTATGCAAACAAATTACGCGATTGCTTTTTCTTCAAATATGATTTACGAATGCGTTCTAAACTTATGAACGTGCAGAAAGTGAAGATAGAGCAAAGGAAAAAAGCGTAGCGTTCCGTAGCAATCAAATCACTTAGTGTTCAATCAATCGTGTTTTATATGTGTGGCAAGTGCAAAAAGCTAATCTTAGCCAAAGATAGAGCACGCGAGAAAGCGATTGTGGCGGTTAGCTAAATGCGATTTGAGTATTGGATTGCGTGGTACGGATGGATTTAGAATTTGGAGCTATACACAGAGAGTTAAGTGAGAATCGGCCGGATTTCACAAATACAAATAATGGAGCAGTTCATTTTTTGTTCGGTCCGCTTTCGCGCTTGCTTGCCTGCTAAGGATCGCTTATAATTTTGCAATCGAAGTAAAAAACTCGTGAATGATCGCGATCACAAAACGCAAAATGGTAATTTACATAAAAACCGAAAAAATCTCTCGATCTGTTTGTGCGCGCCCATTTCGCTTGCGTAATAGAACATGATATTCGGTGTTCACATTACAAATCTTCACGCCCAGTAAGATATATTGCACTGTTGTTGTATGTGCGGTGCATTTCTTCTACGTCGAATTTCGATTTTCCATTATTTCAACGTATGACCCGATCAAAAGACACACAAACACACTCGACATCAAAAGCGAATAAGAAGAACACACTGTGTCTGACTTACAAAGTAATTGCTTAAATAAATTAAATTGTTCGTACGTTTCGCATGGTTTTTCATAAGCTCCAGTGCCGCAGTTTTATGTTTGCTAATAATACAATAATTTGGACCGAGATTGAGTGAGTGATCCGATGCAAGCGAGCAACAGAACAAAACGATTAAACAAAACTGTTGCAAATTTTCTTCAGAAAAGCTAGCGGCGGCCGATGCTGTGGTGGCTTGTTTTTGCACTTGGCAAAAGTCCGTGCATGTGGAACACAATTGCAAACATTCAACACTGAATTTGAAATTACGAATAAATCGACGATTCAATTTTATTTATTAACGAATAGAAAATGCATAACAATAAATATTTGTTCATCAACTGTTGTATTGTGTCTGTTCGATTTTTCTTTCTCATTCATTCGTTCGTTCGCTGCTTGTTCATTTTTACATCATTTGAATCAATTACGATGTATAGGTTTCTTTGCAAATTATCTCCCGCTGCCCGTAATGCTTGTTTTGTATAAGTGTTGCTCGTTTTTTTTTTCTTCGCTTTTTATTCCGCTGCTGTCTTCTGTTTCATTTGCGCAACAGACAACTTGTGCTAATGTATTCCAATTGTGTGGTGAAGCTACACGGGCCCGAATCATATATGCAAAACAAACGTCAAATCGAATATGTATGGAATTTGTGCTTTCATATTCATCGCTTAGCCGTAGCGCAATAGACGAAGCAGTGTTGGATTGTTTGCTTCTGAATGATGATGATGATTTTTTTAATTTAGTTTGCATATGTTTGTCGAACAAAACTGTTGACACAACGATTGTCTGTGATTTTTACGAGCCCATCGTAACATTTTTTTGTTGTTTTATTCCTTTTTGATCCTCTTTCCCTTTGGTTTGAGTGGTTTTCTTAATGATCATTGTGTTGTTAGCGTTTGTTTTTTATTTTGTCTGCGATTTACAAATCACTTCTGATTGAAACGTTTTGTTAATTTTGTTTTGCATAGTGTGCCAAATTACCGTAAATGGGTGAGAATTATAAAACGATGGTTGAATTAATAATAATAATGATATACAAGAGATACCGCGCTAGGTGCGCAATTACGATACTTCGATTTTAACTGGACAAAGACATTCAAATCGGTTCGGAAATTTAATATTTCGACGCTAAATTATTGAATCGCAGTAACCATCAGGTGCGATACGATACGATACGATACTAAATCTCGTTCGGTGTCTTGTTGCCTCATCATTTCAAAATCGTAAAAGCAAACACAATAATTTTCATCGCGATGATGTTGAATCGCGTGCCAGTTTTAAGAAGTGCATACTGCTTCAGCTTGAGCTAAGCTTATGCTGGAAAAACAAGCAGAAAAAATAAGAAGATTGTAATTGTATTTCTCTCCTTTCGGCAAATCGGCGTGTGTATGTACTTGCCTTCAAGTACAATTTTGTCTTTTGCTCGTCGATTATGCTCTCCATCTAGTCAAGCGGCCTATGTGTACGTGGTTAAGCGAATTTATTCAACTTTCTCCCATCTCGTCACCTTATTTAAGTCACGTTTCAGTCGCGGCCGTTTCATTACTTCTGTGATTATTTCTTCATTTTTCTTTGTTGCCGTCGTTGTTTTGTTTAACTCGTGCAATGTTTGGATCGGCGACGTGGTTTCTCATACACCAAAAAATGTCGTATCGTTCATCACATCAAAACCAGTAAATGGACGGGAAGCTTTCGATTTTTTTTCTCTTCTCTCTTTTGCCTCGCTCGATATAATAAGAAAAAATGGTGCATTTAACGATTACAAAGTGAAAATATAAAATACGGTGTGAGAACTGGCTTCTGCAAACTATAATCGATTTTGCTTATGAAATGCATATTACCATCTTAATTGTGAGTGAACGAACCTACTCGACTTGATATCGACGCAATTTCATTCCCATACGATCCACACCAGATATAAATAAACACTCCTAAACCGCCGAAAAAAAACGAAATCAACAAACACAACAGTTGATTCCATCAAGACCGCGAGAGAAGCCGGCTGCTCTCAATTGTCCCAGTGGATCCTAATTAATGACGTACGATTTTTGTTCTTATAATGCCAGTTAATGAAATTTTTATCGTGTTTTCCCGTCATTTTTCACGTTTCGTTCAGTTTTTTTTTGTGTTTCTCTACGCGGCGGTCGCTAATCATTTGAAGGCACCATTGAGCATTACTATTTTTGAAATGAAGTTTATGTCATTTCCATAATAAATGTGAGTTTTTACGTGTATTTTTCTTCTGTTTCGCTTCTTTCGCTCGCTTAAAAAGTAAACAACGACCACAACAACAATGACGACGTCGACGAAACAGAAGAAAACGAACGAAATTTATATGTCGTGTGGCTGCAACAGCAGCTCACTACTTAAATTATCGAATTTGGATGTATATGAAGCGTGGGACGTCTCCTTTACTCGCAAACATACATTTTTACTTCATATGGCAATGCGACAGCACCGAGTCAACGACAAAATGACACGGTAGATAAAGTCACCAAACCAAATGGAATGAAATTTAACGAATGTATTGTACTGAATTGAAATAGACACCAAATGTTAATGAACGAAGCCTGTGTAAGTGTGTAGGATTTTTTGGGTTGAATCGTTATGACGACGACGACGACCATTTTCTGATGAGAACATTTAGCAATGCCAACCACAGTGACATAAAATCCAAGCATTTTAAATGGAGAATCAAAAAAGTTGGAACAAGAAACTAATGAAAATGAAATAAAATAGTTTTTTGTGCTTTTGAACCGGTGACAGCTTGAACCGTATGCATCGAGTCATTATCTCCATTTTACACAGACAATTATTTACATTTCTCTTTAATTTGTGTGCTTCTCCTGCTTATTGTTGTTGTTTGTTATCTTGAAAAATTTCATTCGTTCGAGATTGTTTAGCTCTGCACGATACATAGCCCAAATCAACATATGTTCAACATTATTGCAATTGGTTACACACATTTTTGATGTTTTTCTTCGTTTGATTTCGTTTCGAAATTTCAATCATGTGTAGCGCGCAGCCTAGTTCGATCACAATAATTGGATTTGTGCACAGCCAGCCCAATTCAATCATCGTTCACTGTGTGCGAATAATAATAGTAAATGTAGAAAAGACCCCATTCGGAAGAAGCAATTTATTCGTGAGGATTCATTTATCAGTAATCTATTTAATTACTCCGTTCCCACCAATTTCTCTATCGAATCGATTGTTTTTTGATCTCCCCGAGCCGATGGCATCGATTGTTCGATGTCTCTCAATGGCTTATTCGAAGCATGTGACGCCCTTCCGTTAAATTCGATTTCTTTAGTCGATTTATCATTGAAGATTTATCAACTGACTGACAATTGTTTTTCACACCATCAATCGCAAACATAAACATTTGTTCGATTCGTTCTAAAATTCAGTTTCGTTACGAACGTGTGTCCAAACTCAATTGATAGGCCAACTGTTTTTATAGTTTTTTACATTCCAATTCTAATATTGTGTGTGGTGTGATTATTTTTGCGATAAATTTAATGGCATTTTTTTTTCTTTCTCTTTCTGTTTTTCATTGCAGTTGCAGATCGCAGCGAATACGAAATTGTCCAAAGTGTACAGCGAGTGATATTAAAGTGTCTGTGTAAAAGTGATTGATTTCGCTATTGTAAAATTCGAGTCTCGTTTCGACCAACGGCGACAAAAAAGTGTGTGTTCAAAATCCATTGGGAATCAACGAGAAAAACAAAAAAAAAGCCAGAGAGAAAACGTCGAATCACATTTTATCGAGTCAAACGAAACTAAATCCAACAACAAGAGAAATAAAAAAAGGCGAAAAACAGAACATTCCGGGTGTGTGCATGCTGATATTAAATTCGCCGACCGGCGATATTTGAATTTGTGTGTGCATTGAATGCGCGGCGCTTAGAGAGAGAGGATCATTCGCAAATCTATTTTGTGTGTTGGCTTTTCGTTTTTGGAGCACAAGATTCGTAAATTTCGGTATAAAAATAAGCAATTGCACATGGCATCACGTAGCCGAAGCGCACTCGAATAGTGCTTTTTTTTATTCTTGTTGTTGTTGCCTTTGCTTTGTGTGTGAATGAGCGATTTGTACAGTGAAAAAAAGTGTGTATATATATAAATGCACGGTGGACTGAGGAGAAATCGCATTGAAAAGCGTCCCTCTTTCTGTCAGTGTTTTAATTTCACAATCGCGCGGTATTGTCGGTGTGTATTTTAAATGGTTTTCATCAGTGAACCAAAATAAATTGCCACGAGTACATAGTGCTACGGTGCGGTCTACGAACACGAGAACCAGAGATATTACTATATCGAGACGAGAGACAGCATTTCGAAAAGCGATTTTTATTTCGGAGAAGAAGAAAAAAGGTCAACGCAAAAAAAAGCACACAAAGCCATACACATTTTTTTGCATATTACCTCATACAATAATCTACTTTGTGTCAAAGAAAGACGAGAGCAGAGATAGAGAGAGGAAGAAGAAGAAGAAGAACAAAAACACGTTGCGCACATCCTCATAATTAGATAGGGAATGAAAAAGAAATTGTGTTTCCGCATTGAAAATTACACAGATATTTATAGTTGAAACGTATAATAACGCCACAACATAAAAATTGAATTTGGATTCTTTAATTGAGTGTAAAATCTATTCAGAAACATTTGTTGTGAATTTAAAAAAAGTGCAATCGAGACAAGTTCCAAGTTTAGACCGCAAGCTAAACTAGAATTTTCCAATGAAAAAACCGTTCAATCTTTAAAACCTTTTAAAGAGCGACAAAACAGCATGAATTAGTGTCGAAACACGAGAAGAAAAAAAAAGAATCAGGCGGAAAAAAAACAGAACGTTGTAATTAAAATTGACTGTGAGCAAGTGTTAATAACCTCTGCGAGTGTTTGTAAAGTGCATTTAAATTCAGTCGACACAAACTTCGGCGACGACGACGACGACGACGACAACGACTCACAAGCGACAAGACAACGATTTATATATACACAAATGCCTATGTGCCAGTCGCTGCCATACAAATTCATTTGACCAAATTGAAAATTAAATGTGCGATTTCGATTGTGCTGTGCAGCGCATCCTTCATTTCGTCAAACCAGTAACTTGTTGTTTAAAAATAAGCCGAAAAAACGAGCACCACACACACACATTTCGCATAAAGTGCATCATTGAAATACCAAGAAACTCGAATTGTTCGTGTGTTCATTGTGATACATTCAGCGCAAAGATATAAAAAAAAAGAGTTGAAAAAAGTGGATTAACACCAAAAAGTGACCCGAAAAAACGACGCGATTTCCGTTGATAGACGAAAATAAAACCAAGTCAATTTGACAGAGAGAATAAGAGTTATTCTGGTATTTAGCAAAACAGAACAAAACGAAGCGAAAAAGAACAACAAAGACTATTGAAAGTTGTGAATTTGGAACATTGTTGTGCATCTGATGTGTTTTAGTGTGTGCGGTGGTTTAGGTGAACGCTGCAAACCAATTTTCACGATTCGGTCGGGTTTGATTGCGTCATGGCAACGACTGCCAAACAAACATCTTCCAATTCATCAGCATCTTCATCGGTTCGAAGTTCTACAGCAACCGTTTCACAAACGCATTTTCAACAAAATACCTCCTCCCAATTGAATATTACCACGACCCATCATCGGTCATCATCCCTGTCCGATTCACCAATAAAATCCACCACAAATCATATTTATCATCATCAAATTTATCGCAGTACAAATAGCAATCAGAACGAGCAGGCCGAACAGGACATTGAGATCATTGCAAAACAGATATCCGATCACGCTGAAGAAATTTATCGGACATGGAAGGCTCGTGGTTTGTCAACACCTGAGATTCTCAATTGTCATTCGGTGAATAGTGACGCATTTGATATAACATTAACGCCGTCCGTACAAAGATCGTTGCGACGAAGTGAGTCACCGCAATACGAACCGAAAATCACATTAGGCGAACTATCAAAATCAAGTAATTGTATCGATACGGTGTCGGCATTGCCCAATACATCCGCCAAAATGTCGAATTCAAACCTTAAGAAACTAGTCAGCACATTTGTAAACGAGGACCGAGCCCGACAACAGCAGCAACAACAACAACAACATCAGCAGCAGCAGCAGCAGCAATCATCGATCGTCGCTCGTAAAACCAATATACTTACGAGCGGCACGATAAAAGATGCATTACGCAAATTCGAAAACATTGACAACAATGCAACAACAACCAACATACGGCCAAACTATTTAAAAAATAATCGATCGCCAAACAATAGTAGCACAGTGCCAAGCGCACCGATCGCCACGACAACGATTGCGCAACGTGAAAAATCACTAAAATTGCAATTAGATCAAACGCAACGAGATCATTTGCATTCACAGTCGAGCAACAGTTTGGACACAACTAACAAATTGAATAAGAATGTGCCCGATGTTCTCATCAATACGATTGAACAGGAGAAATTGATAAAGCCATCATTATTACTTAATAATAGCAATAATAGTTCAGTGTCTAGTTCGAGTGGATCGGCGACATCGACGACGACGACATCATCAACAGCAAATAGTAATAGTTCAGTGGCATCGCGAAAAAAACCAGAAACTCCGGCCAAACCAGCCAATTTGCTCAATCATACGCCCGCATGGTCGCTGAAAAATCGACTGAAACCCATTGAAAACGGTAGCAGTAGCACCAACAACGACAGCACAACCACCGTCAAGGTTGACAAATCACACGAATCGTCGACGGCGACACCGACGACGACGACAAAGACGAAGACGACAACCGCTCCACAGTCAGCAATCTCGAACTATGACAATGACATTAAGAGTGCGAAATTGGTGAATAAGCAAAATTCTAAAAGCAGCAAAGTGAACAAGTTAATGGATGAGGTTTTAATGGAAGAGGAGAGACTTATAAACGCATTAAAAACTGGCACTATTCTCAATAACGATAAATTGCCCGAAGTGATAACGTCGACACTATCAAACACAAATAGCAATTCAAAAAGTCAAACCAATAGCAACACAACCAATTCAATGACAAATGCAAAAATTGTCACGGCAAATGCTGAACCACAGCAGCCAACCAGTTGGAATGGTGCTCAAAAGCCAATTGCGACGGAGGTAGCGAAATCGACCAGCGTCGCTACCAATGAAAATGGCGCACCACAGCTAAACGAAGTGGATGGCATACATTTGAAAATGAACAAATCGCGACCGAAAAATGATGCGGCTGTACCACATCCGGAACTTAGTTTACACACAAATAAAACGGGAACGAAACAGGCTGGTACAGTGCCTGCTGTTCGACCGTTTTTGACACGCGGTTCGGTCGCCGAACGTGTTCTCATGTTTGAAAAATGTCCCGAAATCAAGGCTCTGCGAAACGCACCAAAGGATGCCAACAAAGTACCGGTAATTATTAGTCGAAAAAAAAAATCCTTTGATTCATATTTCGTAATTCATTTCGATTCGATATGATTTGCTCGAGCCTCGAGTCGTTCTCATGTTACAATAGCGCCGAGCGAGAGAAAGAGAGAGAGAGAGAGAAAAACCAAGTCAATGATAGGGGGCCATCAAAAGCGGTTCACTTGCAATTGTTGTTTTCGACAACGCCAAGGGTTCGTCATTTGTCCCCATGAAATAGTTTCGCAAAGTCACATGCCTTCAAAATGATTATTTCTTTTTCTCTTTCATGATTGTAAACGTTGATGCACATCAACACACGATTCGAATCACATCGATTTTGTAATCAAAATTCGAAGCGAAAAATAAATCTCGTGACTTAATTCACGTAGTAAATAAGCGTAGTAGTTTGGCGCTAAAACTGAGAAAATCCAAAGATTTTTTGCATTTAATTGCCCCGAACCCAAAAGAGATGAAGAAAGAATTAAAGTCGTAAAATCAATTCGATAAAAATGGGATATAATCGAGATTGACACAAGGCAAAAAGTACGGTGGCAAGAAACACAAACGTATATCTAAATTTACCACATTGATGCATGGCACTTAAATTAGGATGCAACGTTTAAATTATCGATTCGCGACAATCAGTCGCGGAAACTCGCATTCAAACTACTGTACACAACCGTGAACATCATTATAATTCGACGAGGTTTTGCCTATTCGAATGAAATCATATCGATCGAAATGAATTTGAATCAAGTTGAATTATGAAGAAACCAAGTGTTCTTGACAACTTCTAACGGAATTGTTGACATGATTGCCACCAATAAACAGCAGAATAGCTTAAGTTTTTGCCAAATTGGAACGAAATCATTTAGTTAGCTCGAAAAACTTATAGAATAGCCCGTCGCTATTTTTAGCTCGATGGTTAAGTTTTAGCGAAGCAAGAGACAATAAAGGCAAATGTCAACAAAGTCAATCATTGTTTCACTTGAACGTGGCCAAGTGGAACTTATGACTAAAATATGCAAAACACATACACAGAAACCAATTCTGATGCGGTTTTGCAAAGTCAAGCGTCACAGCCACTTATAAAATATTCAATTGCACTTGTTTTGTTTCATTTTCGTGTGAATTTTGTTTCCTATTTTCCATTGAACGAAATACAAAAAAACAACAACAAAAACCAACAGGCGAAGCCAGTGCCGAAGCCAGAGCAACAAACAACATGCACTACACTGCAGCGCACCATTCGAAACACGAAAAATGTTTACATCCCAAGGTAAGCTTATGAAAACATTTTACACCCTTCGCATACTTGACATCAACTGACCCACCAGTCGTGTCTCGATATGGGCGTACCACGCTTGGAATGCGGAACCGTTTAACCTTTTAATACAACATTGATAATGATTTGGGAAATAAATTTTAACTTTTTTTTGGCGCTTCTGTCTGTCTGTCTGTGTACAATTTTAGATTTCATTTTCCGTTTGGAAAACCATTGTCATCGATTACATTGGAACAGACACTGCAACGGCTTTCGGCTGCATTCGATGCATATCCAAATAATGCCATGTCCAAAGATGATTTTGTTAGCGTGCTAAAAATTTGCTCGCTTCCGTTCTACTGGCGAATGCCTTTATTCAATTGCACCCAATTGACGCCAGCCGGACTTGTGGATGGGAAGCGATTCGTCGACTTTTGGAAACAGTAAATATTATGCTGGTTTTTGCTTATGTTCATTTCTCTTCGTGTTCATTTCCATATTTTGTACCTGTATGCTAATCACTTGCATTTCTTTCTCTGTTCGTTGTAGGATGTCTGTGTTTTGCAATGATTCGGTGTCCCGTTTTGTTTATATAATGTCACGTGGCCAGCGATCACGGCCATACATTTTACCTGAAGACTTAGTTTGCTTGGTGCAGGATGTCGTTGATACACATCCAGGTCTTGCGTTCCTCAAAGAAGCCTCTGAATTTCATTCACGCTATGTGCACACGGTCATTGCGCGAATATTCTATGCGGTTAATCGCAGTTGGTCGGGCAAAATATCAATGGCCGAACTTCGACGCTCCGATTTACTTCAAGTCTTACGATTGCTCGAGGAAGAGGAAGATATAAACCAAATCATGGCATACTTTAGCTATGAACATTTTTATGTAATCTATTGCAAATTCTGGGAATTAGACCGTGATCACGATTTGTTTATCGATCAAAATGATTTGGCCAGACACAATGACCATGGTTTGTGTTCGTTTCAAATTCAATTTTAGTTCAGAAATTCATCATCAGAAGTGAGAAATTAACACGATAATTCATTCGTTTTGCAGCCCTTTCCACGCGAATTATCGAGCGAATTTTCTCCGGATGCGTCACAAAAACCGCCAAAGCAAACAATCAACGGATGTCGTACACGGAATTCGTGTGGTTTTTACTGTCTGAAGAAGATAAAAGCCATCCGACAGCCATTGAATATTGGTTTAGGTGAGGTGTCAACGCTATGAAACTGTGACAAATGTGGCATTTTAATCTAATTGAATTGGTTTTTTTTATTATTCTCCAACAGATGCATGGACTTGGACGGTGATGGTGTTCTGTCAATGTATGAATTGGAGTATTTCTATGAGGAACAACAGCATCGCATGGAGTCAATTGGAATTGAGACTCTTCCGTTCGAGGATTGTTTGTGTCAAATGTTTGATATGATTAAACCAAGTGTCCCGGGTTGCGTTAAATTGGGCGATTTGAAGCGATGCAAAATGACACCCATTTTCTTTGATACATTCTTCAATTTGGAGAAGTACATGGAGCATGAACAACGTGATCCATTTGCGTCACAGCGTGAAGATGAAGTAAGTCCAGTGGGAACGAAGCCATTGAAAAAGTTTTTTTTTTCCTAATCACTTTTTGTTTGTCTCTTTAGATGTCCGATTGGGATCGTTATGCGGCTCAAGAATACGAATTGCTTGTGGCCGAAGAGGGTGGCGATACTCATGGGTAATTCTCTTCTGCACAAATCATAATCAAATAGTCTCAAATGATTCTGTCACAATTGCATCATTTCCAACAACAACAACAAAAACTCGTCATTTTCATTACCTTCATTTCATGTCATGCGCCTCTTTCATGGAATCCAAAAACTTTCTAATTATTCTTTTTTTCTTACAATTTTTTTCTTTCTTTTTTTTCCACATCCAAAAGCCGATAAATTATTTGTCACCAAAATAAAAATCCAAACGGTCGCTTCACATTTTTTTAAGTTTATAATTTTGGTTAATTTAAATGAGATGAAGAATGTAAAAAAAATATATATATATATTCATTAGAAGGTGAGCTCAATGTTTCAGTGTGAGGAGTGCGTGTGGTTTTGTTGTTTTTACTATTTTCTATTTTTTTGGTTGATTCTGGAAATTTATGTTGGTTCTTAGATGTTGAAATTGAATTTTTTTTTTATTTGTTTCGTGTGTTTATTGAATTGAAACTGACTAGTTGAGACACAGCAGTTTTTTTTAGGGCGAGAGCTAATGCTTTGCCAGAACAAAACTTTTTTAAAATTTACTTTGCTTTTGAGCTGCCAGAGTTGAAAAGATTTCTTATTTTGAACATCATTACTCATTCATTTATGCCGATAACTTTTTTTCTTTCTCTCTCTTCCATTCTTAGGTCTTATGATGATGAGGAGGACTACGAATCGAATATTGATATACTGGAATCACATATGGACGATCAAAGCGGTGACATAAATGAGTTGTAGTATTGCCTCCAACAAGAACAGCAGCAGCACAGCCAAGGCGACGAATTTTGAAATTCTGCGCAACTTTTTTGCGTTTGTGTGTGTGCGGTCGAATCAATGACAAATGTGATTGAAATTTAACAAACAGTTTTATTTATTGGTGGATTCAATCGAAGAAGCAAAAATGAAATGGAAAATGACAAATTCTCAAAAAAGAAAAGAAAAAGATAACAATTTCAATGCGAAAATACATCACGCACAATCATTATTAGAAGAAGATTTGGAACAAATACATGATTAGTTGATTAGTGCCATGAAATTGCAAACCTGAATCAGGACATTCAATTGTGCGACTCTATGTGTGGAACAGTCAAAAGGAAATTTTGCAAAATGGCTATTTTTTCACCCATATTTATCTTTCGATTTAAATCGAAAAGAAACAAACAAAAATTACTACCGTGCGGTAAGGATATAATAGTTAGACAGATATAATTAACAAATCGTTGCCATTGTCCGCGTGTTTTCATTGTTCCATCTCAGTTCTGGAGCGTTGACTCATTTTGTTCTAGATAACAGAAAAAAAGCGATATGCGAACATGTAGTCAGTTGCATTAGAACCTTGTTTGACGAGAACACAAACAAGCAAAACAAAAAAAATGATATAATTAACATTTTGTATTTATTTCCAATGTTTTCAAATTGAAAAGAAAAGAGCAAACTTTTAAAGATATAATTTCACCACATCACCAAATGATTAATGTAGTTTTTAATGGAGATTCATAAAATTTGTTTTTATTTTAGTTTTTTCTCTTTTTCGTTCGCTTGATAATTATTTAATTTATCTGAAAATTTGCCATTTTTATTTTGCACGTATTCCTTAGGAAGTTTTTTTTTTTTTAATTTTATTTATTTAAATACTAGAAACACAACAAGTTATATAAATCGATTGAGAAACCCATCATCAACAACAACAAAAAACTCAGTACCTTTTAACCATATGAATACTATATATATATTTAATGGAGTAGAGAACAAGTTTAACCTAAACCGAATTGTCTCCAAACTGACGAAATGAAATAAAAGCGTCCAAAGATAGTAACTAAATACCGAATACTCTTGATGTGTTTTGCTTTTCATTCAGTAATTTTCATCATTTTAAATCAATCAACATGTTGCAGCTTCTTTCAAACCTTCAGCTAGCTTTCGATCACAAGCTTAAAAATCAATTTGAACAAATAAATCATTGCTTACTATTTACTCAACAAACAAATGCTACAAAATCAAATAGAAACTTAGCTAAACCATAACAAAAATGTAATCTTTAAAAGCATGTGATATTTGATAGACATAAACATTTTTATAACATCAATTAAAAGAAAGAGAAAATGAAATATCCAAGGAAACTTCAATTCATTCAATATATCACATTCACCTATCCTCCTGTTGATTTCAATTAATTTGTTTGGATTCCCTCCTTATTTCATTGTATACGAATGGTTCATTTTTATTCACATGCGAACGAAATGGTTCAGTATGAAATGTAATTTGATTTGAACGGCAACAATATGAACAACATCCTCATTATTTCAGCAGTCATAATCCTTTCATCTGAATATTTACTAGTAGAGCCATTTTTGACTAGATAGACAAACACAAAATAAAAATGAACAGAGAAAAATAAATCGTATTTTCAACTGAAAATCAATGCAAAAAAAAGTAAGTAAAACATGTATATGAATAATAGCGACACATTAAATAAACCAATAAAAGTGTCGGATTACCATAGTTATGAACATGCAAATAATATTTCAAAGTAGTAGGATAGAGAGCCCTTAGAAGATGTATCCTAGTCCAAGAATGAAACAATATGTTTCGATTCTTATTATTTTTACATCCACAAATATGACTAAACAGCAGAGAAAAATTAATATGAAATGAATTTTGGCGTTTAAATTGCATTAGAAATTTAGTGAATGAGTTTTAAAGCGTATATTAAAATTATTTTATTCGGGGATAAGTAAAATGTTTTCGTTTGACCTATTTTTTTTTATCAGTTCGCAATTTGTCGGGAAAATTTAGAACATTTGTCAAAAAAAATGGATGCCAAATTGAAAGAAAATTCTGGCTTCCAATAAATTTTAAAGAAAAATAACAAGCTTTTGGTCTTACTTTTACAAATGTAGCGCATTTGCAGAGATTAAGCAAATCCTTATTATTAAATATCATCTCTTTTGTAAGATTGTAACATATTAATTAGAACGATAATAAACACCTGTATAAATAATTAATTTAGTATGAGTAAAAGGTGTTGTTTTTATATCATTTGACATTTTCAGATTTTCATCGTTGACTAGTAATTATTGATTGCCTCTTTTTTGCTTTTTAGTGCTTATTTTCATTTAATAGAATATTAAACAGAAAAATCTATGATGCGAAATTGATTTCAAACTGAACTATAGCATATTTTAGCCGTCTCCATCGATCGATCAATGAATTAATTGAACGAAAGAAGGGGAAATAATACGTGCAACCCATGCATACGATCAACTCTCGAAAGACAATCACTTTTTGATGATTCATAAATGAAGATCGTTTCAAAACATCATCAAAAACCACTCAAATTGATAAGTTTGCTAGGTAAATCGTTTGTGGTGCGAACAGAAAGCGTCGCAGCTAGTGGTTTGTATACAGAATGATCTCAAAATTTAAATACAAAAAAACCGTGGGCTTATGAGCAATTTCAACAGCATGCTTGATTTAAAATTTTATACCAATATGTACGGTCTGAGAGTAGGAGTATTGTATTGAGTTGAAAATAAATATATTGGTGGTCTATTTTAACATCATATTGCGAAATTCGTTATAAAATTTGTTCGATGAGCTTGCGAATGCTCTTGGTCGTGTTCAATCATATCTCCTCTATGGTCTAGTGGCTAGGATATCTCGCTTTCACCGAGAAGGCCCGGGTTCGATTCCCGGTAGGGGAAAATATTTTTTTGAATCTCTTGTTAGATCTTTTTGGTACATCTTAAATCCACACAAAAGCTAGCACATTAGTCAAAATGAAGAGAAGCGCCATTTCACAAAAAAAAAATGGAAACAGATTCAAGCACATAATTCAAAAAATATTTTCCCCTACCGGGAATCGAACCCGGGCCTTCTCGGTGAAAGCGAGATATCCTAGCCACTAGACCATAGAGGAGATATGATTGAACATGATCAAGTGCATTCGCAAACTCACCTGTTATGAATTTGCAATGAATTTATTTAGTTGATATCAAAATAGATTATAAAAGTGTTATTTTTCTTTTCAATAAACATGAAAAATGAAATAATAATAATAAGCAAAGTCCATTGAATTGAAATCAAATCTAAAGATCGAAGCAATAGGAAAATTCGATGAAATCAGAAAATGGTTGAACCAAATTCTATAAATATAACACGTTATGCTGTTATCCGAGCAATTTTCTTCTGGTGTTCTACTTTTATGGAGATTGGAGATAAATGCCATTTTGATTATAAGTTTGTTTTGTACCATAGGTTCAATAGAAAATAGAAATAAATAAAATATATTGAAAAGTAAATAAGACATGTTTTAGCAACGACTGCTTCTGAATTAATTTATAATAGAAAATGAAATGCTTACTTGAACTTCCCATTGTGGGTGAAGGAGACGGCATGCATTCGCCCTATTATGCATTGGGAAACATGGAAGAACAATAATACGGAGAAAGCGCACGATTTTCATCTTCGTCAACGATTATGGCTTGAATTCAATACACACGATTTGTATTGCAAATTATTTGAATTGTTGCTGCCTATGTTAGTTTGGAGCTGTTTAGAGCAATATATTCGGAAAAAACTTTTAAAATGATATTATAAAGCTAGTAATCATTTACTCTTCTGTGTATTTTCTTTCATGGAACTTGAATGAATCCTTTAGCTTGGTCTTTCAAGCCCACTTAATGGATTTCTTTTGTGATCTATTTTGATATGCGAATTCATAGCAGGCGAGTTTGCGATTACATTCGGTTGTGTTTACTAATACCTCCTCTATGGTCTGGTTAAGAAAATTTATTTGAAAGATTCTGCAAAAAATGAACAAAGAAAACACCCGAATACTTGTTTCTGTTTGATTTTAATCATAGATTACGTCGCTTACAATTACCGAATTTTCAGCGTTGACATAAAAACCACATTCTGGATTTACATATAGACTTATTCCGAAATGTACTTAGTTGGGTTTAATATAGTTGCACATAATATTTCTGTTGATACGATATTAATATGGTAAAATTATTAACATCTCGTGTTGATAATAAATTATTATTATTCATTATTCTATTAACATATTTATACTATTTGAATATTAACATCTATGTTAATGATTATTAACATTTTTATTAATATTTATTAACATCGGATGTTAATATCGTTTTTTTCCACTGCCAAGCACCCAAATGGTGAAAAAATCATTTTTTTCGGTTGTTTTCTTTTATTCTACGCTATGATGCATTTAATGACCCACCGAAAAGAAGAAATACCAAAAAATTGGTTTTTACATTTGGGCTAGGGGTTTCGCGCAAACTCGAAGGCCGAAGATTTTACTAAATAGCTGGAAATAAAACCATTTTATGTGCAAACTATAGATATTGCTTCTTTTTATTCATAAATTCGAATTTTTGAGAATTTTTTGAATCTAAAAATTCTGGAAGTGGGTTTTGGTGGATCCTCAGGATTGTTCAAAACCGCTCCTGGTTCTGGAAGTGGATCCTCAGGATGGACCAGGGCATTGTCAAACCCAGTCTGATCCATCCTGAAGATCCACCAAAACCTACTTCCAGAACCGGGAGCAGTTTTGAACGATCCTGACGATCCACCAAAACCCACTTCCAGAACATAATTTTCAAGATGAATGTTGAAATATTTCGAAATAATACGGATTTTGGAAAAGCGATTGACATAAATCAGAGAACAATCAAATCCATTGTTTAAAAGTGTCAAAAATGGGTCTAATTTGGAGTTCGAATAATTTATTTTGTACATTTTTTGTTTTTGCACACATATTTGTTTATAACTTTACAATCACACTACATAGACAAATATTGCCAAAGACAAGAATAAAGAGAAATTATTGACGAATAAAAATTCGTTTTGAAGCAATGTGATTCTATGTACGGTTTACGTTCTACAGGCGTTCAAATGTTGCCCGTCTAGAGGCGGTTGTACACACCAAAATTTCGGAGGGGAATGAGTAATCTAGATACAGTGCGAAATAGCGGTTTCAACTGTTTAGGGATGAATTTCGACTAATTTTAGGGGAAAATGTGTTATTGCTTATGCGAACGCTCAAGTGGCTACTTTTCATATAAGTGCCAATACATAGACACGCACTGGTCACCAAGTCTGTGCAGTTGTATGTATTGAACGAGTTGCTGTGTGCAAAATTTACAATACATACAACTGCACAGGCTTGGTGACAAGTGCGTGTCTATGTATTGGTGCGTTTATGAATAGTAGCCACTTGAGCGTTCGCATAAGCAATAACACATTTTCCCCTAAAATTAGTCGAAATTCATCCCTAAACAGTTGAAACCGCTATTTCGCACTGTATCTAGATTACTCATTCCCCTCCGATAACTTACATTTTCGCGTCGTAGTCGATTCAATTCGCCGGTCAGTCCTTATTGAAATCTTTGTTACAGGTTCGATTTTTGCCAATTTCATGGACACATCTCAATTCTGGGTGAATACCGGTGGGATAAAATCGGAAGTCACCCATAAATCCAAATTGGTTCTGGAACAGCAGCCACAACATCTCATCTGGGTTGTCTTCTTTGATTTTTGGGTAGGTCAAACGGAGATTGCACCGTAAGGTGTTTGAGAACTTCGAAAGCTCACGCATTCAAGTTGATACTTTTTACTGTCCGGATCGTCGTAATGGAACTCGTCGTTTGACATCATACGTTTTACCACAAGACGTGGAACGAATCGTAGATTTTTCTGCCCAATAATGCGCAAATGGATAAAAACAAGCACGCCCATTATTCTAGCGCCGATCTCATTGTAAATGACTAGTTTGCGGCTACGTTGAATCAATTCACGTTGGATCAAAAACTCGATTCTTTCTTCGATTGAATTGCACACTCTGATTTGGTCATGATACACGTTGAATGTACATTTTTCCAGTTTCTTGATTGCAAACCCCAGGTCGGTACTATCGGGAAATGACCAATGATCCGTCTTAGATGCCACCAAATCCAGTAGATTGACTTCATCTTTGGTTAATATGCGTACACTGTTCCAGTCCAAATCCACCTTTCTTAAGCCCCAAGATGGTCCAGCAGTGCTCGGCATGTTTCGGATCAAAGCCTGAATTTCGGATCAAAGGTAAGGCTGAATGATCTGTTTGGCTGAACTTTTCGATGGACTTTTTGGTTTGCTGTGGCCGTGGCAGTGACGGTGGCAAAAGTTGTGGTAGCTGCTGCTGCGGCTGCTTGCGATGTTGCTTGCGATGCAACTCGTTCAGAAATTCAACCATCTCACGTAAAGCAGCAATATATTCATCGTTTTCACGTAATACCCAAAAAATCTGTAACCGTTGACACCATATCAACGACAATTCCCACTATATCGTTGGTAAATTGGATGTATTCTTTTACATGTCCGCATTGATGAATGTAACATTCTCTTTGATCCGCTCGTCGACAATCATTTAAAACCAAGATTTGTGCCTCCTCCGACGAAATTGTTGCTCCCAACTTTTCATTTCGTTTGTTGACTACGGTGTTCGAGTCCGACACAGAGGGAAGATTGATATGACCAACTTCTGTCTGTGGCTGCTCTTCTGGTTTCTCTGTCGGTTTCTCTGCTGATTGTTGTGTTGTAGTCAAACTGGTCATCGCAATATCTTCTGGAAACGAATATTCATCAAATGAATCATCGAGTTCTTTTGTGCAACCTGTTGTATTCGATTCGCTCGGACTTCCAGATGAATAATATATATTTTCAACGTGCTCAAAGTGTCCAATTTGTTCATCGTATCGATCTGGGATACCCCGATAATTTGTTTCTTGTGTTGCATTCGGTTTGTCCCTATCAAACTCTGGAAAAAGTATGGCAAATATTTTCATGAAGTTGAACCCAAATGGTGGTTGTCCAATAATATATCTATATATATAAAAGAGAATGTGTGTCTGTCTGAAACGACTTGAAGGCCAAACGGGTGGTCCGATCTGGACATGCCGTGCATCATTGGAAAGGTCTTGGGCCGGCGGGTGACATAGGCACCATCATGGTCCATCATGGTCGAGTTAACACGACTTAACACCGTAATAAACAACTCTTACTCAATACGTTTTTCGATTGGAGGTCGAACAACAGAGCTGTAGCTTGTCAAACATCCTAGGAGTGTATTTTCGACATGTTTTGAATATCGATCAAAATATACACTCCAGAGTTTCCATTTGCCGATTCGTATCTATAGCATCAAAGTCTTGCTGCTCCTGTTGTCTGCGGGCTCGAATTTGTTCTAACCGTTGTTGTCTTCTACGAATCATCAGCGGTGATGGATTGATCAGCTCATCATATACTTTCCGGAAATTTTCATCTTTCTTCTTAAATATTTCGATGAGATTTTGCAAGGACGTCCAGTTTTTTCCATTAGCACTTGTTTTCATTGCCTTGCAAATTCTTTCGAATGGCGTTTGAGGCCATTCGTTCTTGATAGATGGGAATGGTGGCATTTGCAACAATCTCACCTCGCAAATTTCGTAGTTGCAACAACAAAAAAGCAGCATGATCGGGATTGTTGTATTGGATTTGGTTTGGTTTGGACCCGTGTGAACCATTTGCGGAGAAATTCAGTGCACAGCGGAGCTGTGCGGAGTTCGGCGGAGATGCCATACATACACTATATCTGAAGCAGTGCGCTCATGGCTACTTAGATGTGTATTGAACAATAGAAATGTAAACACAGCAAAGAGTGCTGTTTCGCTCACACGTATAGCGTATGTACGGTATATCCGCCGAACTCCGCACAGCTCCGCTGTACACTGGATATCTCCGCAAATGGTTCATTTGGGTACCAGTTTGTCCAAAACCTCTTGTACTGTTCTTCTTTCTTCCAGCCATTGTGCTTAGATTCACTATGTAAGTTTCTTTATGTCTTTTGCTGTTTAGTTTGTGTGTCCACTGTTTTTACTTCAAATTATAATGTGTGTCTTGTCTTTTTTATCTTCACTTTTTTTTTGTCTTTTTGCTATTTGTTATTGTCTATAATAATTTCACTTCAGTTTATGATGTGTCTTTTTTCACAGAATATAGTCTTTTTCCACTTCTTCGTTCTTTCAGTATTGGTGAATCAGCAGGAAAGAGACCTGGTTACACTTCTGCTGTAGTTCCACAGATCGATATCCAAATCCAAGTGCATTGTTAGTAACTTCTTCTTATTTTTTCTTTTGCTTTGTAAAATCCATCATAAAAATCTTCCATTTCGCCTCGTCCGAGTAATAGTAATTTTTGATCACGTCGCATTCGGTGAGTTTTTATTTCTGTTGTTTGGATGTCTCAATTCCAATACAGAAATCTTCCATTTCGTCACGTTCGTGGTTCATTCGAGTCGCGGCATCGAAGGCAGAGCTGGAAGATTACGAAGCAGTACATGTTAGTGGAATAGTAATAAAAGTAATATAACAAAAAATAAATTATGAATACATGGGCAAAAGTTTCTATTCCCCCAATATAACGCATTTAAAGATACAGTGGAACCTCGATTATCCGTCCTCCCATTATCCGTCACCTCTGTTAACCGTCACGCTTTGCGGAAGTGAATTTTTTTTCAGTTCATTTTACTTGAACATACGAATAATGTCGCCGACTGAAATTCATAATCAAAATCAATTGTGTTTCGCTTGTACATCCATACAATAAGATTTGAAATCGAAGGCGTTGCTACCGAAAACATTTCTCGGATCTAACATATGACACTCATAGAAAAAGATGAATATCCAAATCTTGGAAAATTTGCCGAAATGACTGCGGGTAGGGCGATTTTAATTGTAGATTTTATGTAGTTTAATGTAGTGTTTTTACTTTTTTTATGTAGGAGCAATTTTTCGAGTAATCGGCTATCGAAAAACTGCTATAAAATGGAACAACTCAAATCTTGGTCAAAAACGTATTTTCCACAAATCGAATTTTTTTTCGAATGAAGAATGGTTCCAAAAAATTGTAGATAAATTGTAGAATTAAAATCGATTGTCTGTTTCCGAATATGTCAGCCCATTCGTTCGATATTGAGACGAGTCATGAAAATTGGTCCAAAATTGAAACTCAAATCTTGGCCACAAATTGAAATTTCCACAAACTGAATCTTCCTCTCTTGATGCTAGGTTCCATAAAATTGTAGAAAAAATTTAGAATTCAAATCTACAATTAATTTTGAGCCACTACAGTCGACTACAATCAATTTTCGACCACTACAATAACTGTAGGTGCTTCTACAATTATTTTCGGGCCACTACAATTAATTTTTGGTTACTTCAATGATTAAAACACGTTTTATATCAGTTTATAGCAGTTTTATTCCCATATCAAATATTAAACTCCCCTGGAGCCAAACTGTCTCTTTTTTACTCTAAGTTTTTTTCCATCTTATCTATAGAAAGAGAACTCATTAGTTGTTTTTTGTTCTATAGGTGTCATATATTTTCTACATCACCCGATATTTCATCATAAACTAATAATAATATGGATGTTTTGATTGGTTGGGCTTATTTTATGAAAACCTCGATTATCCGTCTTTTTCGATTATCCGTCAAGGTGCTGGTCCGGTGCCTGACGGATAATCGAGGTTCCACTGTAACGGTTACTCTTTTGTTCATTCAATAAAAAATAATAATGAAACGGAATATTGTGCCGCTAGGTTAAGAAGTTCTTTGATTGTACATTGGGTACTTGGGTGTGAAATTGTTGCTGTCTGCGATCGTTGCCGATTGCATTGCCTGCATATAGCTGGGAGGTTCTGTGGAAGAAAAGGGAAAAAAAATGATTAACGATCAATTAAAACTGATTGAGACTTTAAAGAAATTTTAGGATTTGTATTTATTTTACCTTCCTGTGGAAATGGAAACGGAGCGCTCGGAGCACTGGGCACAGCTGAGTATGGCAGCTGATTGTTCTGATCGGGCACTTGTGACACCGATGGTGGCAAAATTACGCTAGTCGGATGATAGATTATTATATCATCCGGATGTGGATCCCCGTTAGCCGCTGGTGTTATATCCTGAATTGGGTTAGTGCCGATGGTGATTGGTAGATCGATGATTGGATCAAAGTGAAAGCATGGCACAGAACCAATTATCTGTAGAAAAAATTGAATCAATTCAGGTATTGGTGTAACCATGAAAATCGATTGAAACAAAATAAAGATAGCGAATATGAAAGAATCAACTTACACTAATGGAATATTTCACTTTAATGATGTTGCTCGTAGAAAAATCTGATGGAGGTATTGAAGGAACTTCCAAATTTACCCGATAATCCTCTTCTTTGCCTATATCACAACCACGTGTTTCCATCCTTAATATCGGAATTGTTTCATGTTTCTGGCTTGTACTGTTTTCGCACACATAATAACTGACTTGCTAATGTATTGGAATGAACGACACTCATTGAGTAACAGTAGAAAGTTCTGCGCCGATTTTCATCTTACCTTAATCAATTTTATCGTAAATTTGGATGCTGGTTGATCGCTCTCATTTTTTACATTTATTTCCAAATTGATAACTTGACCGGGCGTATAGCCTCTAACTGGAATTCGAGCGAGGATTGTCATGGGCGGCGACGATTTAAAACAGCACAGTAAAAATGGTGAGAAGGTTTTGCGTCTTTCAGCAATGAATGGAGCCTGTGAATGAGTAACCAATACATATGAATCACTTTTTTGATGAAACTAAGAACGGAAATTACTCGAAGGGCTGGATCAGCATTCAGATTAACGGCTTTAATAACAGTAAATAGCTGCTCGAATGTTTGGTCTGGCAATAGTGGAATGTCGATCACAACTCGTGTACAATATCGAATGTATCCAAACTCGCCTTTAAATTGAACCAAATCCAATTCACCGTTGAAAAAAAATTATTAAAACTCAAATTTGAATGGTAATGAAAATGTGCGTCAAACCTTCGAATGATGATGGCAAATCAGGCGGTAACATACATTGAAAATTGTAAGTATAACTTCCTGCCAACAATCGAGTCTCACCTATAACAATGCCATCAAATAAACTTCAATCATTGCAATCAAATGCTGAGAATGATGAAAAATGGGTATTTCTTGGAATGATACACTACCACCCGCATAAAATGTGGATCGGTTTACGAAATATGTTCGTTCATTGAGATAGTCTTCATCACCCGTGAACGTTTTACTGTTTTCATCGGTGCCCTCTCGCCATTGTGCATGTGCAGTCCCTTGTATGCGAATGAATATACTACGAACATACAAGTGTTCTGTCGACGTCAGCCGACAAGTTCCGCTTAGTACTTGGCCAGCATAAACTACTTTTGCCGGATTACTGTCAAAATGAACTTCACAAGTGATCGGCATTTTTATACATTTACTTTTGATTTGCACACGTTTTATTTCAAATTGAATCGATTCACTTTTAAATTGCGAAAAATTTAAATAAAAGTCTATTTCAAATGGTTTCTCAATTTTGTTTTTATTTTCCACACTTTTATTTCGAACAACGATGTTGGTCTATTTTTTTCGTATTCTGTTGTCAAAGAAAAAGAAATGTTTCTGTTTCTATTTATAGCTTATTTGTTATTCCGTCTGTCAAACACCAAAAAAAGCTAAATCGATTTCTGGCATAGTAACACAACTTTTTTCGCACTCCAAACCTTTTGATTTCATAGCATTTTGTTTCACTTTTCTTTCTTTTTGCCAATTTTTTTTCTAAACTAGATTGTGTTGGGCGTCAATTTCAAGGACAAATGAAGTGTACTTGCGTATCTGGTTTTTTTTCTGCTTCGTTGTGCGAACACAATCAAAATCGAGTTTTAGACCGAGAAAAAAAATTAAAAGAACCCAAGCGAAAGAGTACGATTTGGCTCTATCGTGACGATACATTTCATCGTGGAATTGCGGCTAGCGCATGTACCCAACACTTCTCCTATCTCACTGTTGCTATGTTAAACATAGTAAACGGTTCACGCACACCGATACATGACTGTATGCGTGCGCCCTAGAGCAGTGAGAAAGGAGAAGTGTTGTGTACATGCGCAAGCCGCTATTCCACGATGAAATGAATCGTCACGATAGAGCCAAATCGTACTCTTTCTTGTTAGTTAACTAACAAATTGAAAAGCAATCGAGAGTGTGCCGAATCGTATTGTGTGTACGTGTGCGTGCTGATTGCAAACGTCGCACGCGACGCGTCGACAATTTGATAAAA